CGTCTCGACCAAAAAAAGAATTAGTCAGGCGTGGTGGCACGCACCTGTAGACCCAGCTACTTGAGAACCTGAGGTGGAAGGATTGCCTGAGCCCAGGAGGTCGAGACTGTAGAGAACCATCATGGTGCCACTGCACTCCAGCCTGAGTGGCAGTGAGACCCCCCCCCTTCAAAAAAACAAAACAAAATGGATAAGGTATCTATCCATCTAACACCGTAAATGTTAAGCATTTCTTTTTTGTTGACTGCCTCCTCTTCTGAGGATATAAACTCCATTAGAGCAGGATTTTTTTTTTTTTTTGTCTGTTGGGTCCATGTTTGCATCCTCGTTGCCCTCAGCTCTTGGTACTTAATAAGTCCTCAACAAATACCTTTTAAATGAGTCCATGAGGGAATTAATGAACAGCATTCTCAACAGATACTCGCAGATAAACACTTTCCATAATCTTTATTATTACTCTATCAACCAGTGTATTCATTATATAAAGCCTAAGTGGTTAAAATCCACATGAACTCTCAGAACATTAAATGCTTGCTTGAATGAATTTCCTTTCTTTGGCCTTTTTTTTTTTCTTTCTCAGGCTATTTGCTAAACCTAATTAAGCAAGTTTATCTTCTTCCAGGCTTCAACTACCTCAGTGTCATTAACTTTCCAAATTTATTTATCTTTAGCCTCACTTCCACTCCTGAATTGCATTTGATTTCTAACAACTTACTGTATGATTTTAACTGTGCGCATCGGTTGTCTATGCTTGAAATCAACATTTAGAAACTCAAATGTATTTAACTAACCCCCACAGTCATCTCACATAAACATAGACACACGCCAAAACTGTTATTTCTCATATATATATGTGTATATATATAATTTGCTTGTTTGTTTTAAGTCAGAGTCTCACTCTGTTGCCAAGGCTGGAGTGTAGTGGCACGCTCATGGTCACCGCAGCCTCGACCTACTGGGCTCAGGTGGTCCTTCCTCCTCAGCCTTTCAAGTAACTGGAACCACGGGCACACACCATCATGCCCGGCTAATGTTTTGATTAATTGTAGAGAGGGGGGTCTCACCAAGTTGCCCAATCTGGTCTCAAACCCCAGGACTTGCAATCCTCTCATCTCCACCTCCCAAAGTGCTGGGATTACAGATGTGAGTCACAGTGCCCAGCTTATATATTTTTATATTTTAGGTATTTGCCTCATTAGCTACTAAGATGACTAAGCTAGAAATGATGGTGTCATTCTTATCTTTTTCTGTCTAATATTTTCTCTATCCAATTGATTCCCACATCCTGTTGATTTTACCTCTATGTTGTCTCACGTAAATCTCTTATCTTCCATGTTGTCAGACCTTCCATTAGGAATATGCGTGGGTAAATACAAAATCTTCCTAAACTCATTCATGGCTTCCTGCCATTCTAATGCAGTCTTTGTATTATTGCCAACTTTGTACTTCCAAACAATCACAGAACCTTCAAGGATAATGTCTACATTTCTTAATATGTCATAAAATATCATAATCTTCTGAATGAGGGTAGAAAGAAATTTGGTACATAATTCTTAATATATTAATGTAATAATCCAAGCCCCTGGGGATCACTTCATATGATGGATTACACTCACCTGAGTGGGTGAATGAACCCCTAGAGCGATTCAGTCCAAGATGGAGCAGTTTTATCAATCCTAAGAGTCAATAGGAGATCCCAGATTTAGAAGCAGAATGGAGGCGTTTTGAAGAAAGTGGTACGTTTACACAAGGAACAAATGACATAGAGGCAAAATCAGATTATAGCAAATTCAAGAAACCGAAACAACTTATATCTATATTGGAAATTTTTAGGTATATTCATACAATTTCAGAATCTTCAGGCTTCCTTTGGGAGAATTGTGATATAAGAAGAGAATCAATGAAAAATAATCATTACAGTGCATACATGTTCCTTTCTGTCTGTCTGAAATAGCAAGGCTAGTGATAAACACTTGATGGAAAATGAATCCACATCTCTGTGGGAACATTTCTCATTTCTTTTTTCTTTTTCTTTTTTTTTTTTTTTTTTGAGTTGGAGACTCACTCTGATGCCCAGGCTAGAGTGCAGTGGCACACTCACGGTCATAGCACTGTCGACCTACTGTGTTCAGGTAATCCTTCCACTTCAGCCTTCCAAGTAGCTGAAACTACAGGCGTGAGCCACCAAACCTGGCTAATTTTTTGATTTATTGGAGAGACAAGGTCTTACCATGTTGCCCAGGCTGGACTCAAACCTGTGGGCTCAGGCAATCCTCTTGCCTCAGCGTCCCAAAGTGCTGGAATTATAGGTGTGAGCCACCGCGCTCAGCTTCGTCTCTCATTTCTAAGACACAAGCTTACTTGTGACTAGCATTTTTGAGGACAGACTCTGAAGCTCAGAAAAATGTTCGTTTAGCTAAGTACCTCAAGAGAATGAACCAAGAAGGAGATGACACATTGATATTACCATTATTAGTCACTTTGCAGTTTATATTTTCAGTAGATTACCTGTCTTTACTTTGCTTCTTAAATTATGAGGACTGCAGAACAAATATATCCATATTATAGGAAAGGCAACAAAGGTCCTCCAAGATGGAGTGTCTTGGCCAGGATCGCAAAGCTAGTACAAAACTCTTTTTGCCATTAACGTATAAAGTCTTATCAAATCTAGACTCTAAAACTATGGGATAATTAGTCAGAGTAAACATCTTTTTATTATTATTATTTTAGAGACAGGGTCTCACTCTGTTCTGTGGCAGGAATAGAGCTCACTGCAACCTTGAACTCCTGGGCTCAAGCAGTCCTCCCATCTCAACCTCCAAAGTAGCTAGGACTACAGGCACATGCCACCATGTCTGGCTTATTTTTTGTAAAATCAATCGTCTCATTATGTTGCCCAGACTGATCTTGAACTTTTGGGCTCAAAGAATCCTCCTACCTCAGCCTCCCAAATTGCTGGGATTACAAGTATGAGCTATCACAGTAGGGCCTCAGATTAAATATCTTCAAATGAAAGTAGTGTCTTGGTCTGTAACGAAAAGGCCTCTATAAAACCGGAGAATGCCATGTTTTCTCTGTTAATACTTTTCAGTTATACTTAACAACATTTCTACACTTTCATCCCATCATGAGCTCCTTGAGGACAGTGCTTAAGTCATATTTATCTCTGTCTTCTAACAATGTGTTTCTGCCATTCGGGCAGAAAAGGCTCCATAAAATTTTATTGAATTGAATAAATATTTATAATTCACATGACGGAAAAATGCCTAGTGTCTAAGCACTGTTTATTTTGTCTTATCAATAAATGTCAGCATTGTTTTTTCCTTTCCTTGCTTTCTATTTCCTATAAAAACGTAATGGTGACTGGTCAAGGATATTTTCTCCACTACTGACTATGAACCATGTCGTTTTAAATTCAAATTTGGCAAACACTCAAAGACACTGTGATAATCTTAATATGTTTCTCTTAGAAGTGTGAGAAGTATCTAGAGCAAGGAGTTAACATATTTAGAAGCCAAAAAATAGAACTCTTGATTCTAGTCAATAAGTATTCATTTTGAGGAGTAAAAAATTAAACTGGAAGAATTAGAGAGGGGAAGAGGAAAACAGAAATAAATAGCATGGCGGTATTGAGGAAATAAGATTTTTGCAGCTATAAGTCCCAGACTAAAAGATAGGCAATGCTATTATTGTTGTAACATAATTCTAGTAATTTTAAAAGGCTTGTGTAGACAGCAATATGTATTTATTTCGTGGCAAAGTTAAAATTTTCAAAAATAAACATTTGATTTTGCTTTCCCTATTTAACAAAGGTCTTTGACCCCTCCCCCTTTACCTATTATCATTTCTCTCATCCAGGTTTAAGGCAAAATAATATTTACAGATTTGCAAGAAAACACCTCCTTCAAGCAGATTTTAGGCAATTTTATAATGTGCAATCAAACATACAATGAAATGTCAATTCCACTCCGTTTGGACTTTTATCTGTGGACCATGAAGTCCCTCACTTAAATCTCTGGGGGCTTTGTTTTATTGTTCCAGCCTATTAAAACGTGAAAATGGTAGATAATTGTCTGGATCCTCTCTAGCTTTGCCGCTCTAGGAAATTCCTGGTGTCCTTTTGTTTCCAGCATGGGTGCTTTGCGCACTTTTAGCTACATTCCGGCCTCTGGAGACAGGCTGCCAGGGACACAGGCGTGGCCGCACCTTGGGGGCAGGAGCAGACCGGCGGGCGTGCAGGCCTGCCCTTGGGGATCGCAGGCACGGCATCCCTTCCTTTTCAAGTTCCGTCCCAGGAGCGCCCGCTGGGGCCCTGCCCGCCTTCCCTTTCAGCCCCGAGGCTGCAAGTTAGCTTCAAAAGCAG